AAAATTGGTCAACATCATTATCCACCCGCGGGAAATATCTGTGGTATCAATGTAATTGGCGCTTTCCAAAAATGCAATAGTGCGGCTACGGCATACTTTGATTACATGCGGCGACCTCCGTGCGCACGCTTTTACTTTTTATCCGCACTACGAGTCGGCCGTGCATGCAACAAGGTAGACAAGACAGCTGCTCTGGCGTTACCAGGCGTATGCACGTAACATACGACTGCCACTTCCTGTTGCTTATAACGGTACGGACGTACCATCGATTGTTCCGCGACGCTCGACTCATCTGACGAGAACACGCACCGCATTATGATCGATCATCGCGTCGTGATTCACGCAAATTTCTACAAATTACTTGCCAACGCTCTTAACTTTAAATCCAATCCAAATTAAAACAAAATTTTTCTCTTTAAGTCTATAAATAAACTTTATAATCCTTTTATCTGTAAATCTACATTTTAGCGATGTTTGTCATGATAAAAAATTAACATAAATAATTCCCAAAGTATTAATGACGCATAGAGAGATTTTTCATACGATTTTTACAAAACACAATATATCTGTAGCTTTTTAAAATCGCTGATTTTAAATCTGAAAATTTTCACATTTAATATATAACATTTAATCGAACAAATTCATTTAAAAAATTATTCTTTACATCAAATTTATGTTATACAAGTTTTAAATTCATGTATAATATTAAAATTTTGAAATTTAAGATATTATTTTTAATTTCTATATTACATTTAAATTAAGTATAACAATCATTTTTTAATTCAGTTATATTTTACTTTAGAATCAATTATACATATAACAATAAGGATATTGAACTAACGCCAGATGTATTTGCTAACAATCTTCGGGTGAACTTCCGAAAAGCTTATCACCTCCGATTTGGCTGATATTCAGCTTAAATACTTATTTTATCTAGTAAATAATATTTCCAAATGGATTTTTGGCGCAAATGTCCCCTCCACCCCCCAGCCCCCCTCAAAGGTAAAAATGTTTTTGTTAATTATTTCAGGAAGTGTTCATTGTACGGAAAAAGTTGTTAAACAAAAAATGAAGCTCGTAAAAAGCTTTACAAATAAGGTTTATACATATTTGATTTAACTCCAATATTTTAATCGTTATTTTAGTCGTTTCGGCTCGATAGCTTCATTGTTATATGTATAATAGATTTATTAATACAAGCCTACATATTTTTTATGTAATATTTTATTTCAATTTTTGTATTTTTTATTCCTGATTTATACGAAATTTACATCTTAATATTCAAAGTTCTAAAATGGAATATTCTTAGACTTTTTGAAAAAGATTTATATAAAATCTATTGCTAGATTTTTTAATTATTACATTAGATTTACGATTTTAAATTTCACAATTTTAATTGCAAATATAGATTCAGCATCTTAAAAAAGAATATGCAATTTTTTCGTGAATAGGAATTAACTGGACTATACCATTAACTAGTGAAAAAGATGATTGGTATCTAATAAGAATATCTCATATTATATGAAAAAGGTTTCAGAGAAACCTTTTTTGCAAACTTTTTAACGTTTGATCAAAGTAAAAGCATATGGATCGACACAATTATTGTTTTTTTCTTTTAACGTACGCTCATCATTAATTAATTAATTAAAGTCTAGTTAATTAAAGTATCTTTTACGTAAAAAGAATTTAATAACGTGCGCTTTATTTGATATTATAATGTATTTATAGGCAGATATATATAATAAACGTACACGCAAGAAAGGGGTGAGGGAGGGAGACCTTTTAGGCTTTATTAGATTGGATGGTTAATGATCAATCAGCTGTGTCACGGCCGCACCTTTCCTTTACCATTAGTTCCTTCGTGTATTGCAAGCACAAGCTTTTATTATGTGCTGTTCGTATTATCTACTTTATGTTGATTTAAGCATCCTTTAACACGCCATGCGATAGTTTCTCGTATGAGCTCGTCATTGATCGTTTGCGTCATTGATTCTCATCTTTCAAGTCAAAATTTTTTTTGGGTTTATTAAATATTTTAATTTAGCGTTTATTTGAATAGTTTTTGTATATACTTAGAACGACTTTGTTTAAAATAATTTTTCAATTCTTATTCAATATATATTGAATGAATCAAAAAGTTCATTCCGCTCAGCCAACGCCGGGTTAAACAATCGCGCCTGGAGTGGAGAGGGTTAAACAGACAAAAGCGTCTGTTTACCAACATTGAAACCCAGGCTCTTGGCTACCAGAAGCAGTGGCAATGGTAAAATTTTCGTGAATTTTTGCGATTTTATGAGTTGGGTATTTTCCGAGTTATGAGGCTTGAAAGTTACGGCAGAGTGAGAGAGAAAGAAAATGAGGCAACGCGCTTCTTTCTCTCACTCTATTGTAACTTTTAAGCCTTATAACTCGGAAAATACTTAATGGAAAAAAACTTTATTATAGTGTTTTGAAAAGCTCTCGAGGTCAGCTACAAGAATATGCAATCAAAAATGGAGGTTTTTATTTAAAAATATTACAAATTTTACAAAATATTACAAATTTTAAAGTGATTTTTACGTGACCTTAACAATGCTATTTAAAGTCAAACTAACATTGCTACTTAATGCACTATTTAAACCCTACAACTTTTATTTAAAACATTTTTCTCAAAAATGCTTTATTTTCGAGATATTTGCTCATTGTGGGATTTTTGGGACACTCGGTATATGTACATATGCTGACAATTATATATAATATGTTATTGCTACGTCTCTCGCGTTTATACAAGTAAAATTAACCCTTAATCCCGACTCATGGGTCGTTTTCGACCCAAGCGAAATTTCAAAGTGCTGTAAGGTACCTCCATTTCTTAATAACAAACTATATAAAAAAATAATTTTTATCAAAATATTATAATTGGGACTTCAAGTTGAAGGTTGAAAGAAGCTCCATGAATTTTTTCAGATTTTTTAAAGCGTTTTTACTGATCCAAATAACGCAAAGACGCAAAGCGACCCATGAGTCGGGATTAAAGGTGCCGAAAAGAACCGTCGGGATTAAGGGTTAATACAGCCAGTTTAAAATTTGTTTGACGCATCTCTGTGTGATTTGGTGTCAATGATACAAGTAATAAAACATAAGTAATAAGTCGATAAGTCGCAACGCCCCTTGTGCGTAATTATGCTTCTATTACTAAACCATTGTCGTAAAAAACCTATATATATATATATATTCATTTATTTATTTATTTATTACTAATTAAACATATTCATATTAATCACTTATTCTCTCAGTGTATGCGCTGCTATACATTATCCCAATTCATGTTCTCGATTCGCAAATCATATAGAGCAGATATACAATATATACTGTGCACGTTCTCGCTTGCAAAATTTTGCTTTCCTCATGTTTAGCATTATGTCTGCATTATTCATGCAGAATTATACATACATACCATCAAGCGAAGTCCATGTTCAAAGCTTTTAAGTTCCGCAAAGTTATATATTTGGAAAGCGTGTCAAAAACATTGCGGAGACATTATTCAATTCTGCATAATAAAACATTTATGAGAGAGAAAGAATATTATTATCTGTGTTATTACGAAAATAAGTCACGACTCACCGACTAGGATATAATATCTGATTTTTTTCTCGAAAATTAATAATTTATGTATCTGCCGATTTTATATGCGGTGATATATAATAAGGCCATATTTAAATGAACCACCTTCGATTCCATTCTCGTAACGTCAGGTGTACACGTGCACATGTTTTGCAATAATTAAGTCGCAAGTCGTTTTCGCGCCTACCAGCAGATATCATTGATACTTAAAAGTCCACTCGTCTGTCCTGCAACGATGAAATTCAGACATATGTAGGTAGCAACAATTTTGTATTTGGTGGCCTCTGCGATCGAGGACAAGTGAAAAAGAAACCCACGTAATACCTTGATATGAGCGAAATCTTTGAGTAATTTTCTGCGTAGAAATTTTTCTCAACAATAACATATAAAAAAACACAATTGTTGAATATTATCAAATAACAGCATTTAATAAATGTTTTTTTTTTGTTTTTTTCAATATTAACAATGCATATATGTACTAATAAAAATTTTTTTTTTATAAAACAATATCCATAAAGTTTTGGAATTGTTGAATTAGAATTATTGGTAAAAATTTTCGAATTTAATATGGCACACCTAATATAGCAAACACAAATTTTAAAACTTTATCAGCGCAAACCTTTTAAATATTGTACTCTTTCACTTTCATTAATTATCAACTGCTTCTTATTTTCTTGACGCATATTTAAAAATCTACTTTGCTTCGAAAAAAATGACGCTTTATTAATTCTATTACTAAAAATATTTTATTCTTATTATTCTCATTGAATTCCACTCTAATATAAAAATTTTTTAAATCTGGAATTATTATTTTAATAGAACCCAAAATAAAATTAATTGTATTCTCAAACTTTTATTTACATATTACATTTAAAGTATCAACAACCATTTTTTAATTTAATCATATTTTTCCTCAAGAGAGAGTGTTTGATTTTTGAATTATAAAATTTATACTTTAATTTTTGGATGGTAAATTCTTAAGACTTCTTGGAAAAGTTTCATATAAAATCTTTTGTTAGAATATCTAATTGCTATACTAGATTCATAATATAAAATTCCAATCGACACTCTGATTTAACGTTTCAAAAAACTCCGAAATTATTTTGGATAATAAAATGATTCAATTTGTTAAAGGATTAAAGGATTAATTGATGATGAAGCAATTTCAATATCAAGCATTCCGCAAATATAATAGTGGTAATTGCGTAAATACAATTCGTAGAGAATTTCCTTTTTAGTATATACACTGGAGAGGTGCGTAATCGCGGCGCACACATGTAAGGCAAAAAAGTGCACTCATAACGGCGCGTCAATGTGGCAGACCAGTGGTAGGTATAGTCGTGAAAGAGAGTGGGGATCATAGTCAGATGGCAGAATCACTGGAACACCTCAGTACTGAGCTGAACGTCGGTCGTCGCTCTTCTACATTACTCGTATTTTGTTTCTCTCATTCCACTTTGCGGAGGAAAGAGAGCGCGAGTGCGAGTGCGGAAATTGCATCATTTCGATATTACGTAAGATTTAAAATCGCGTCAAGCAAAGAATTTTCTGCGCAAAGGCTTTCTCAAGAACATTACGCGTTGAAAAAGTGAAAAGCAGCTGGTAATCGATGAAATTGATGGTATATTTCAAGTTTACGCTGATAAAATTTTTTTTTTAACACCGCAACAAATATTTACGACTGCAGAAAAGAATAAATGTTTGCTCTCAGAAGGAAACGCACGTTAAAAGGAAGATTAGATTGTTAGATTTAACGTAAAAAGCTTGAACATTGTGTAAGTTTTGTTAAACAAGGTCAAAAAATAATCAGTAAGTCGAGAAGCAATGTTTTCTATACTTTAAACGGATACGGGTGAACGTGGATAAGCTTTGTATATGTTTCTACAAGTAGTAAAAGTCGATAGCAGTACACGCTGTTTTTGCTAAACAATATGTTCAGAAATTTGTGTCATAAACATTACTGTGCGCTAATTTCTTTCTCCTTCTGATGGCTGCAGTCTCAGGAAATATTTTTATCTATATTTAATATGTTGAGTAGCCAATTATGACTTTGTGTAATTTTGTGCATAGAGTGTCCGATTTTAACTCTACAGCTATATACAGCAAAAGTTGAAACAGGTGGAAATCATCATATAGACATCACTCTTTATTTACGAACGCAATTCTGTAAAGCTTGAGTGGATGAAAAACAACCTTTCGTGTGCTTCCGTGCGCTCTCTTCCGTATTAACTAGTATGAGAAGATGCACATGTTGAGTATGCACATGTATAATTATTATCATTGAAAATTATCCACTCGGATATTCCCACCACTTTCCAAAAGCATTTACTACATTCTTTATTTTTCTGTTTTTTTCTTGGATATTAGAGGAGGAGACATCAATCTCCAAGAAAAAATAAAACAATAAAAAATATAATAAATGTCTTTGGAAAGTAGAGGGGGTACCCAAGTGGATAGCTTTCAATTGTCCTGACTGTACTCTTACGCATATACATAAGCGTGTATAAATATCCCAATGTTACAATGACTAGCACTAGTATGATATTCAAGTTACTTCGTGTCGTTTGAACATTTTTCGTTTAGAAGAAAACAGTATTTACGACAGTGCATTTTATATGACCTTTTTCACATGCGAAGTAAGATTCACGAAGGCAGGCAGGTAGGCATATCTTTACGTTACACCAAAACATGTTCTCTGAGGGAATATGCTTTTTGCTAAAAAATAAGTTGTAATTTTGCATAAAAATTACGCGTAAAAAAGAAGAATAATCATACAATTCAAATATTATCGCGATAACTTGAAATGTTGATGCCATTCTACACTGCTGCTTTTCAAAACTGATTTACGTACATTTCATGTTTCGATAAATTAAAGAATTGTTAAAGTATAAAATGTGCCTTCGAAAAGATTCGGCGAAGAGAAGTTGTGGGTGCAAGTGAAAAATTTCCATCTGAAGCATTGCGTGTGCAAAAATTAGTGAGTTTTACCTGCCAGAATTGCAGCTGCGCAACAGCTGATAGTGATCCTTCGATGAAACCAACTGGACAAGACTCCGGGAACACGGAGAACAAGATATCAGAACATCATTGGATACCTAGTGACCGAGAAACATAAAACTACACGCGCACGACCCTGGTGCGTGGAGAAAAATTACGTGAATGCGTGGGCGACCAGACGAACGGAATAGAAGCCGATGTTCAAGATGGCTTTAACAACGCCTAGAAACAGGTCGCCCATTATACGCGACAAGGAGAATATTCCGGCTTACGATGTACGTATGCCAGCATATACTCACGCTACTTTTCCTCAGTTGTTATTGTATTGCCACGTTGGCGCACGTTTGTGAAGTTAACACCTCGTGCTTTCAGAATTTCGATATAATTGATAGAAATCGCTCTTTCCCAAACAGTACTAGAATTTTTGATAAATTTTCAAGAATTCTGGTGATTAACTATATAAAAATAGCGATCTGAAGATATAAGATGCCAAAATTTCACATTTTCGTCACACAAAAATTGGTCATAATTTTTTTATAGATTCATGGGAAAAAGTTAGAATTCTATCAATTATATCAAAATTCTAACAATGAGATGTTAACTTTAAAGAGGTCATTGATGCGTGTAAGTGTAAAAATTAACTCCTACATTGCACATGTTGAAACAATTTCTCGCGACGCGAAGAACATCATGTCGACACATGCAATGTCTACAACTAATAGTCTACAACGATTAGTGAATCATCATTTAATAGCACTACGACTGTTTTTAGCGCGATATCTTCGATATCTATAATCTAGTAATGCAATAACAAATATACGTGACTTATAATATTGGATTTATTATTTGTATGGTTTTTTTCTTTCTTCAACAGATTGCTGGGAGAGAAAAGCCTCCTATATAAAAGATATCGAGATTTATTCAAATTACGTATAAGCTTATTCAAATGAAATAAATTATTCAAATAATTATGAGTGCCAACAATATGTTAAGCTTAACCCTAATTAGTCACACGGGGTGGATTTCACCCCAGCCTTTTTTTGATCTGGAATACGGCCCATTAAATTTGAGAAAATGGGACTTGTTCCACCATATACCGGTAGTTTGAACCTTTAACTACAGATTCAGGTAGGTATTATTTGAGTTGGCTCTTTAGTGCTTTTCTGGCAGCCATCCGAAGCGGAGCGTCCAAAATTGTGGGGTGGATAACACCCAGTGTGACTATTACGTCAAAATTTTGATTTCCGCAGCAATTTTTTTTCTCCTCTTTTTTTGGTGCAACATCAAATTGTAAATATATAATTAATGATTCTGAAAGTTAGAATTATCAAAAAATTTTTATATTGTTATTTTATCGATTTTATAAATAAAATTTTTAAATAAGAATTGGCATTGCTAATATTTTAGCGTTGAGAGATTTGCCAACGACTACCGAAGACCGCCCGAAACTAGAGAAGCATAAACGCTGTCAAGTGTGCCCCAGAGGCACCGACAAAAAAACATACCTTGAGTGTCCGAGCTGCAAGCGACCAATGTGCGATAAACATCGCACATATTTATGTGTCGAATGCACTATGGGCATTAAATAATAATTAGAAATGATATATTTACTCTTTTTCTACATCATTATAATTTTTTTATAATTTTTATATTAATTTTTTCAAAATAAACAAAGATTCTTCCATAAATTCATGGGTATCATTCTTTCGTCCAAAATTCTAACTTTATTCGGCAAAATAAATATACTTTTTGGAAAGACCATAAAAGTAATAATATCTGTCTGAAAGCATGTCATTTTAGGTTTATAAAACCATTTTTTTTTTTTTTTTAGATTAAAATAAAAAAGTTATAACGATTTTTGTGAAAAAAGTCATTTTCAAAACGGTTTTTTTTCAACATTTTTTTGCGTATGTAAAATTAATTTTTTATATATAATAGACATGCTCTTGTAAAAAGGGTCAAAACTTATCTCAGTATTTTTTTT